CTAATTATTTTAAATTAGTCCTAAACTCTTTTGGCTCCTAGGAATATATGTTTATTTTTAGGGGTCGAGCTACAAATTCAAACTCACTCAATTTAAGATATGATGGATATGTGAGTCATAAAAAATAAATAAATAAAATAAAAATGGATTCGAATTCATCAAGCATATTACTAGATCTTTTTGAGAATTTGACATTATATCAATATAAAATACTACAAATAATAAATGTTATACTATTTAAAAAAAAATAATACAACTGATGCTCTATAAAGATTCCATATTTAATTTGGTTTGATAGGCAGAATGCTATGTATTGCAAAAATACGATGTGATTAAAAATTAATTTTATTTTTTATTATAAAAACTAATTTCATTTTAGTTTTAGTTTTTTATTTTAATTTTGAAGTGGGAGGGAATGTAGGAGGTTTGATTAGGGTGGTTTAGTATTTTAAATTTCTTATTTTGGCATTTGGTCCTTTTATATAATTACAATTTTTATTGTCTTTCATAATAAATATCATTTTTTTTTAGGTCTTTCATTCAAATTTTCCCAAAAAAAAAACAAAGAAAAAAGACAAATTATTAAAGCACTTTGTCGGCTGAACTTAATATAAGTTTTAAATTATTTTACTTAATAAATTACTAGAATAAAGTATATACTTTTCAACAAATAATAAATGTGTCACGCACATGATTGGAGCCTATCGTGGGGGTCAGTGAGTGGCACGATTTTATAAAGATGTACATGTGCACACAAACATGTGTCCTATAAATAAATACAACAGTTATAAAGTTATTTTAAAGTTGTATCAATATTATCAGCATATAATTAAAAGGGTTCGAAATAAATATTTTGCGGTACTTGTAGTTGGTGACAAAAATATTATAAAATTTCTAGGTTAAATATAAATAATAAGAATCGCCCACGTTCAATTAACTTTTATTTAATTGTGCATCACACACACACATAACTGCGGAAAACTACCATTAAATTAACTCAGAAAATAGATTAGTCAGGGGAAAATCAACAAACTCAACAAAATACATGTCGGCTTGTATGATGTTTCTTTAATTATTTTGAAAATTTAAAAGCTTACATATGAGTGAGTATAGTTGACACGACTTTGTAATTTATTGGTGTGAAAACTCCTATATGAGGGAGAGGTTACGTTAAAAAAAGTTACATATGCTAGTTATTGTTGTGTTTTTGTTCGTTTTCATTTCTTTTATCTTATATCTACAGTTAAGTAAGACTCATTGTAAACCCTATATGAATTTTAGATTGGACCATATTTTTTTAAAAAAAATAATAACAAGTATTCTACTATTAAAAGTAATTATATTTAAAATGCTGTTAAGTACTAAATGTAAATACTTCATTTAACATGAATTTAAATTTTGATACACCACATAATGAGAGATGATTAAATTTTTATGTAACTATTTGACATCAGACAATCTCAACCCTCACTATGTGGTGTAATAATGGCCGTTCTCTGTTTGAATTCTCAATTTTATTCTAGACAGAAAAAAGTTCTTTAATTTGACCCTACTTACTCCCACTGATCAGTTTTAATAATAATAGTAAATATTGATTGATGGCGTAGGGAAAAAAAAAAATTGATTGCTGGCAGAGAGCCAAGAACATAGGTCTGAGACTTACTAGAGTTGAGTTTGGGATCTACATTTTAAAATAGCAATTTATTTTCCCGTTTTATGGTCAAAGACGGTCTGTCAGTCCATAATATGGTCACAGCTAAAATACCCAAGATGTGCAATTAGTTCCCATTTGGGTTGAAGTACATGTTGCTTGGTGATAACAATTGATCAACCAAGAAGTAGGGTGATCTTTTGTGCCAGGTAAAACCAAGTTTCATGTGTCACAGTTCTTACTTCGTAGTGGAGAACCCTGTAGATATGACGGATCATATGGTGTTGTGCACTGTTTGATAGAGCCCATTGCTATATGGTCAAATAGGTCTCTTTTCTATCTTTATCAGTCTCCTCGCTTATTTCTCTAGCCGTTCGAGATTATCCATGTCCATTGCGAGTTGTGTCTCCTCTGATTGTCTTTAAATATGACGTACCTTGAGTGTGTTGTATATCAGGATCTCAAATTCTCAGATAATTGCTGGGAGCAGTTCTGCCTCTCAGCTACACATCCCTAGGCCTTTCAATTATCTTCCCTATTGATCATCCTTCATGCTCAAAGTTCTCTCACTATTGGAGTTCGGTTTAGACAATTGCGAGACTGTATCTGAATTTTTTGATAGGCAACAAGTATATCTAGCTAATTTAAACCCCCGAGGAAGCTCAGCAAAATTTGAAGAAAATCTTGTTCTTAAGAATATGATCTATGGTTTGTCCTCTGGAGTAGCAAAATTTCAATTCTTATTCATAGTGAAAGATTTGTTTGCATAAAATTGTTTAATGCATTATTAACAACTCATTTTATCGTATTTGTCGTTGTCTTAAAAATTTTTTAGCCCATTTTTGGGAGGAGGAGGTCTTCATACTTGTACTACATACCAGTAGGAAAGAAACACACGGTAATTAAAGATGCAAATCTAATAAAAATAAACAAGCAACACGATAAATATCATATACTTTTTTTTTTTACTAAAGCATAGGTATCCTCCTATTAGAGGTAATCCTATTTGAGACACTATCGGGCACTAAATGTAAGTATCTTTCCCAGGGAGGATTCGAACTTTGGTTCGCCATGTTGTGAGGGACTAACTCTTTCTGCTAGATCCAACCCGCATTGGTGATAAATATCATATACTTAATTTCTTTATATTTAGGGTCTGTTTGGTTGGGCTTCTGATGAGCTTATAAGTAGCTTAAAATCAGCATAAGCCCGATTGGAATTCAGATGCTGTTTGGATGGGCTTGGAAAAAAAAGTGGCTTATGAATTTTAAGCTCCTCAACGCACGTTCTGGCCCAAGCCAATTTTTATGGCTTATTGAATCAGATAAGCTCTTATTTTTTACCGTTGGGATCCTATCAGCCGGTCCTCATTTTTTTTTGCTGAAGTCTTCGGCCTTTCTTTCGCGTCTTCGGTCTTTCTTTTCTTCCTGGAGTCTTCGTTCTTTCTTTTCTTCTTTCCCATCTGCTCTCCCTTCTACCCGACCGGCGACCCCTCATCCTGCCTCCTCCGTCGCGTTGTCGTCAGACCACCGAGAGTTGCCGTGAGCTGCGTCGCGTCTCCGCCGTGAGGTCCTCGTGTTGGGTGTGGCTTGGAGTGACCGAAAGCCTGGTCCTTCACGCGAGCTGCCTCCCCTCATCCTCCGTCCCCAGAACCACCGAGACTTGCCGTGAGCTCCATCGCGTCTCCTCCGTGACAGGAAGCAACTTGGGTGTGGCTCTCTCGAAGGTTTCGCAGGAAAATGATTCTGTGGGCTACTGAGTCAAACGCCCTAGAAAGTTTCGGTGACCGGTCCGATCTATGAGCATGGAGCAGATCGGTCTAGGCCGTATGATTCGGTCCAGTACCATGACATGGCAATTGCGGATAAAGCAGACCAGCGGCTTGGTTATGAGCCAGCGCGTGGAGGCGTGGTTAATTGGAGTTCATAGTTTATCAAATAATTATGTGGAGGCTTGGTTCATAGTTTATCAAATAATTAATTATGTAATATTATTTTATTTTACTTTGTCAATTGGAGTTCAAAACTTTGTTATCCATTTAAATTATGTTTAGTTGACTTCTTCGTATTAAATTAATTTAAATTTATTGTATTATGTTATTTTTTTTTTATCATGTTGCACTTCGTTTCTTAAATATTTTTTATGATTTCTCTACAGTTCGTAATTCTAATTCACTAAATAAATTTTACTTCATCATTATATTATCTCTATTCGATTTTTTCCTTTTTTCACTTTATATTTAAAATAATTTTTTAGATTTCTCTAAATTTTAAAAATTTAATTCACTTATTCGTATTAAATTATTTTAATTCCATTGTATTATGTGAAATTATTTTTTTCCTATTTTTTACTATTTATTAAAACTCATACCCATTTTAGTCATTTTACAACCAAACTTACTTTTACTCAACCATAATCCAAACAGCTTTTTATCCATTTTACTTTTGCAAACGGGCTTTTCTGAACTCCAATCCAAACACAATTCAGCTTATTCAATTTAGCTTATATCCCATTTCACTTATCCATAAGCTGATTTTCCAATAAGTAGCTTTTCCAATCGCTCATCCAAACGGGCCCTTAGTTCCTCGTGATGACCCCAAGGACCCAAAGAATTGTTCTGACCAAGAACGAGAGTCCCACATCGAAATCCAATAGAACATTCAGCAGTCTTTCGTTATTTTGGGCCTTCCCAAAGATTTTGAGTCTGAAGGTGGGAGCACCTATATATGATCCTTCGCATAAACTTAGATTGATTTCGTATTGCAATATCCTATCAAGTCAACCAAATAATGATCTTATCAAGTCTTGATCTTCCTTATTTAAGGTCGTCTTGTGATTTCAGGCTCATATTTCAATGGCCTTGAAAGGCTTGAAGCCTCATTGGAAGGCAAAAGCGTCGTGTTTGAGGGCTAAAACAAACACATGCTCGAGGCAATTCCAATATGGCAACAAGGTAACAGCAACCAACTTAAGTGAGATTGCTCCAATACGAAAAATGACAAAAGATCGCGAACGCATGTACTAACACTAACAACGCAAGTAATTTGGAGTTTTTTTAATATTTACCCGTAACTAATAACTATTCCAATAAATAAACAATGAATAAAAACAAATTCGACTCTAGGAATTGGAAAAAAGAAAAAGGGAGTAATACAATATTAAGAACTTCGCTTCTCGGACTCAACCCTGCTCACAATCTAGATGAGTAGTTTACATGGTTGTCACAAAAGAAAATTACTAACAAACAAAATACCCCTCAATAGGGAAGCCAAAATCACTTGGTTTAAAATAAAAATTGTAGGACAAATATTGCAATAGGGGGGGGGGGAAAGCACGATTCAAGACATGATATAGTGACATTCTCCTTCCTATCTTTAAGAACTTGTAAATACTATAAACGATCCCGGCGAGCAAAGATGTTGGGAAACATTTTCTTTTTAGTGGCCAAAATCCCCCGTCAAACCAGATTTTCTTCCCTATTTACCGCATTTAGACATCATTAAAAAGAACCTATATGTAAACTGAGAGATCATGGGTCATTTGTACAGTCAAATCCGTGGCAAACAGATAGCTAGATAACAAGGACTAAAAACAACAAAATTCCAAGAACAACCAACTTGATTTTCATGTTCTTATACCACATCTTCCGACGGATCTGTGTTCCTTGCTTTCTGAACTCTTGGGCCTGAAAATAAACACACACATGGCTCTCAGTCTTAGTAGAAAACTGATAAGACTCCTAGTAAACCAACCATGACTTATCAGAGGCGAAATAAAAGGAATTCAGTTAAAACTTGACTGGGTCTTTCTAGCTTCATTTAAATTAGTTATTTTCTTTTATTCCTGTTTATGGAGTCAGTTAGCTAAATAACAGGATTATGAGATCAGTCATGATCCACTCTGGTATGCACATTTTCCATTTTCGTTGTAATCCCGAGAATGTAGGGATATTTAATTGTTTCCTGATTGTTGCAAAGAGTCATATCGTTCTATAAATATGTTAGCCGTCCTGTTAGCTGGCATGAGTAAAAGAATAGTCAAGTTCCATATTTCAGAGATTCTCTTGGGCTATTTTCTCTGCTTATAGTGAGATCTTTACTGTGAGGGAGAGAGTAGAGTGTTATTTTTTCAGCCTTATCAGTTTCTCCAGTTAGAGCACCTACCATTTTGGCATCAGAGCCATGGTTGAGACGCGCTCTTCTCGAAACCAAACAGGGGACGAACCTGTTGCTGCGGACCCTCTTGCTGCCATAGCTTCTAAATTGGAAACTTTGGAGGTTATAGCTGAAAGAGTAGCAACGTTAGAGGCGGCCACTGCTAAGAATGACCGGGGAAGGGGAAGACCGCGCCACTTTGCTGATGACAGTGATGATGATTCGGAAGTGTATCGAAGGGGACCCAAACCACCCCACACCAAGATGGAGTTTCCAAAGTTTAATGGGGGCGACCCGAGGGGATGGATACTCAAAGCAGAAAAATACTTCCGTTACTATGAGACTCCAGACGATTTGAAGGTGGATGTAGCATCGATGTACTTGGAGGGAGATGCGCTTGATTTATTTTCCTGGATCAATTCAGAGCGGACCTTGCTGTATTGGGACGAACTTGTCCAAACTCTCCAGGAACATTATGGGCCACCAGAATTCCAGAATGCTGATGAATTTTTCTGCGCCATCAAACAGACCGGGACTGTGCAGGAATACCGACAGGAGTTTGCACGGCGTGCTTCTCGCGTGAAAAATTGGCCGGAGCACTGTCGTCTTGGGGTGTTTCTGAATGGGTTGAAGGAAGAGCTCCGATCTGATGTGAGGATTCAAAAACCTAGAACGGTGTATAAGGCGTCTAGTCTTGCGATTGAATTTGAGAGGAAGCTGGCATATTCACGTGGGTTAAGGCCCAACCTCTTGACAGCCCAAAATCGCACCAGTCTCTCTAGCCCAAACTCTCAATATGGCAGGGATGGGAAGGGGCTCTCATTACCCAACACGAACCGATTACCAGCATTGAACCAGTCTTCCTCATCTGCGCACACATCCACGACGAGCAGAGCCCCTCTAATTGACGACGAACGGCAGCGACAGAGAGAGAAAGGCTTATGCTTCCGATGTGGTGCGCCGTTCCGACCTGGTCATCGCTGCTCTGGGTCATTTTCCTTGATGGAGATTGATGAGGAGGGTAACCCAGTGCCTGAAACTGAAGAGCCCGTGGAAGAGATGGGAGAGGGAGAAATTACCACTGCTGAGATTTCATTCAACGCTATCCTAGGACGCCCCACTTCGGCTACTATGAAACTCAGTGGTAAGCTCAATGACCGAGAAGTTTTGCTGCTAGTTGACAGTGGGTCGACCCACAACTTCATTTCTGCCGCGCTGGTCAATGAATTGCAGCTACCTACCAGCACCATTGCTACTCTCGGAGTCCAGATTGGGGATGGGAGTGTGGTTCGTTGCAACCATGTATGCAAGGACCTTGAAGTTAAGCTGCCTGGGTTGAACATTAAGCAGGATTTTTATCCGTTTTCCTTGGTGGGTTCTGACATGGTTCTGGGTATTAAATGGCTGGCCTCTTTAAACACCATCCAAGCCAATTGGAATGAGATGTTCTTAATTTTCTGGGTTGACGGAAGGAAATATAAGCTGCAGGGGGTCCCACGAGTTGAAAATTCTGGTGCAGGCTTACATTCGATGATCTCTACGGAGCTTAAATTAGGGTCGAACAGTGCTGGTGCTCTAGATTTAGATCATTTGTATGTTGAGTTTAACGCTGTCTTCCAAGAACCTACCACCCTACCACCTTTCCGTGAACACTTCCACTCCATTCCTCTGCTGCCAGACGCACAGCCACCGAATCTACGGCCATACCGTTACCCTTATTTCCAGAAAAATGAGATTGAGTGACAGATTAATGAACTACTTCAGAAAGGGTTTATACGGCCTAGTTCAAGTCCATTCGCAAGCCCAGTGCTACTTGTTCAGAAGAAGGATGATTCTTGGCGCATGTGTATTGATTACAGGGCCCTCAATAAAATAACGGTGCCAGATAAGTATCCTATTCCTAATATTGATGAGCTTCTCGATGAGTTACATGGTGCTGCGTATTTTTCCAAAATTGATCTGCGTTCTGGCTATCACCAAATTAGAGTATTGACTGATGACATTCCTAAAACGGCTTTCCGAACTCATAGTGGGCATTATGAATATGTTGTGATGCCTTTTGGTCTCACTAACGCTCCAGCTACTTTCCAGGCTGCCATGAATGATCTATTTAGACCTTTTTTAAGAAGATTTGTATTAGTATTTTTTGACGATATTCTGGTCTATAGTTCGAGTCCTTGGCAGCATGAACATCATTTGAGGATGGTGTTTCAGACACTACAACAACATGCTTATTTTGCTAACTTCAAGAAGTGTGCTCTGGGACAGTCTCATGTTGCTTTCTTGGGCCACCGAATCTCAGCACAAGGGGTAGAAACTGATTATGAAAAGATTAGCAGTGTACGAGAATGGCCGGTACCGACCAATGTAACAGAGTTACGCGGATTCTTGGGGCTCACTGGGTATTACCGGAGGTTTGTCAAGAATTATGGTATAATTGCTCGACCCCTTACTGATTTGACTAAGAAAAATTCTTTTTCTTGGAGCTCAGTTGCACAGAAAGCTTTTGAAAGGTTAAAACTTGCATTGATATCTGCCCCTGTTTTGAAACTACCTGATTTTAACTCTGAGTTCATTGTTGAATGTGATGCATCCATGGAAGGTGTGGGTGCTATCTTATTGCAGCAGGATCACCCAATTGCTTTTTATAGCAAAGGCTTCTCCTTTTCTAATAGATATCAATCTGCTTATGATCGTGAGCTTTTAGCGTTGGTGTTAGCTTTGCAGAAATGGCGCCACTATTTGTTGGGACGACATTTCACAGTTAAGACTGACCACAGCAGTCTCAAAAACCTCTTGGATCAACGGGTGGTCACAAACACTCAACAGCGCCTCATTTTAAAACTCCTCCCATTTGATTTCTCTATTGTTTACAAAGCTGGCAAGGAGAATATTGGGGCTGATGCACTTTCCAGAAGACCTCAACACACTGATTTCTTGCACATGGTGATACCTTTACCAACAGACTTCTTGGAACTGGAGGAGGCTCTGTTGCATGATCCATTTACGGCCCCTATTGTTGCTGCATTACAAGAAAATCCTACGGCAAAACCGGAGTACACTTTGGTGGGGCAAAAACTTTTCTTCCAGGGGCGTTTGGTCATCCCCAAGAGTTCACCATTGCGGGCTAAACTGATTGAAGAGGCTCATCTTACACCCTCAGGGGGACATGGGGGCTTCCTAAAGACCTTGAAAAGGCTTTCAGGTACAGTTTATTGGCCACATATGAAATCAGATGTTAAATCCTACATTCAGCAGTGTTTTACGTGTCAAAAGAATAAATATGAGACTTTATCTCCTGCTGGGTTACTACAACCTATACCGGCCCCTGAACAGATTTGGGAGGACATTTCTATTGATTTTATTGTGGGGTTACCCAAGTCTGGAAATTATGATGCCATTCTGGTGGCAGTGGACAGATTGAGCAAATATTGTCATTTCATACCCTTATGTCATCCTTATACTGCAAAATCTGTAGCTGCTAGTTTCTATAAAGAGATTGTTCGCTTGCATGGCATACCTCGCTCCATTATTTCAGACCGAGACCCTCTTTTTTTGAGTGCATTTTGGCAGGAGTTATTCAAATTGAGCCAGACTCGTCTGAGAATGAGCACAGCATATCATCCTCAGACGGATGGTCAAACGGAAGTAGTCAATCGCTGTTTGGAGGCCTATTTAAGGTGTTTCGCACATGAACAGCCTCGCTCCTGGAGCAAATATCTTTGCTGGGCAGAATACTCTTTTAACACTAGTTACCATACCTCTACCCATACCACCCCATTCAAAGTGGTATATGGCAGAGAACCACCTCCTCTTCACCCATTTGTCAAAGGAGAAACTCAGATTGCAGAACTGGCGCACCAATTGGAAACTAGAGATCATATGCTCAGGTTGCTCCAGGATAATTTGAAAAGAGCCCAGGAACGTATGAAGGGCAATGCAGATCAACACCGCCGTGAACTAAGTTTTAAGGTGGGAGATGCTGTGTTTCTACGAATTCAGCCATTTCGACAGCATTCCCTGGCCCACAGGAAGTTCACTAAGCTTTCACCACGTTTCTTTGGCCCTTATGAAATCATAAGAAGGGTGGGGCCCGTGGCTTATGAATTAAAACTCCCAGATTCTGCAAAAGTCCACCCTATCTTCCATGTCTCCTTATTGCGCCCTGCTCTAGGACAACCACCAGCTGACCCTCCTGCTCATCTACCTATTTCAAACGATTTTGAGTTGCTGTTAGAACCGGAAACAGTTCTGTCACACCGCTGGAAAGGTCCCCATTTAGAACTGTTAGTTCGCTGGAAGTCCAGACCAGAGGAGGAGGCTAGTTGGGAGGATTATGATCTGTTACAGCAACAATTTCCTTCTCTTCGCCTTGAGGACAAGTCGAGTTTTCAGGGGGGGAGTAATGATAAGACTCCTAGTAAACCAACCATGACTTATCAGAGGCGAAATAAAAGGAATTCAGTTAAAACTTGACTGGGTCTTTCTAGCTTCATTTAAATTAGTTATTTTCTTTTATTCCTGTTTATGGAGTCAGTTAGCTAAATAACAGGATTATGAGATCAGTCATGATCCACTCTGTTATGCACATTTTCCATTTTCGTTGTAATCCCGAGAATGTAGGGATATTTAATTGTTTCCTGATTGTTGCAAAGAGTCATATCGTTCTATAAATATGTTAGCCGTCCTGTTAGCTGGCATGAGTAAAAGAATAGTCAAGTTCCATATTTCAGAGATTCTCTTGGGCTATTTTCTCTGCTTATAGTGAGATCTTTACTGTGAGGGAGAGAGTAGAGTGTTATTTTTTCAGCCTTATCAGTTTCTCCAGTTAGAGCACCTACCAAAAACACATGAGTTAAAAGGTTAGCTCTCAAACCATAGTCAACTAACCTGTGACTTCAATGTTTCTGTCTTGTCCGCAAGAATGGTTAGATTTTCTCCTCTGTCAATAGCCTGAAAGGATGTTCCATGAAAATAAAGATCACATCGTAATACAAACAAGCATCCAACCATAGTGAAACTTCAAATATTGCATCCCAATAGAAAGTGGGGAACATGTGAAAAACATTGATCCATGCAAAGAAACTTCATGATGACACAAATTTGCAAGTGTGACAAGGATCACAAGAAGCTTAATTCATTGGCTACAGGAAGAGTTATTGATCTTCCATTACAAGTTGTCCCCAGTAATACTGGCAGGACGGAGAACAATTAAGCATAGGATGTGTATCGCTTTACCAACCACTGTCATTGCTGCGAGGAAGTAAAATGTGGCCAGCAGAAAGATGGAGTTTTCACAGAAAGGAAGTCTAGTGACTAATATAGCAACTCAAGGAACTAAAACTCTCCCCACCTCAAAACCTTTCTGTACAAGGAAATGAATAAAGTATAGAATTATTATCATATTTTACACCTGAAAAGTTAAGGTACCTTGTCGATGTTCTCTAATATTATACTTTTAACTTCTGAAACTTGAGCCTTCACTTTTATTAGCTTTTCAATCTCCTCTGTGTGGTCTATGATATACTTCATATGCTCTTTCATAACAGGTCTGCAATTGCAATTCATTCACGATATTATTCATCTTTGGAAACAAACTTTTCTAGCCCTGCATTAGGATATGAACGAAGGGCTTAGGAAGAAGTGAGGATACTCAAACTCCTTGTTGAGACTTTTGCCAACAGCTGTATCTGCTTTTCCACCACCATCTCTTTTCTTAAAGTCTGCTCTGACACGTTCTAGAAAAGCAATAGAGATCTGCTTGCTAACAGATTCCTTTGCAACAACACAGTAAGCTGCAAGAATCCCAGTTTATGTAGTAAAGCAGAAGTTGTCATTGTGTGCAACTTAATGATGAAGTAAATCTAGAGTTTCAGCAATATGGCAAAATATCCAACAAAGTCAAAATGTAACTTGTGGAGGTTATGGAAGTGGCAGTAATAGGTGCTAACAAAGTAAGGCTCCAACTCTTAGAGATGACAATCTGTGTTTGTCATCGTGCAACCATGAAAGTGGCCATGCATTTTTACTGCTCCCTAAACCAGTGCCAAAAGCATCTCAAGTTCTCAACGGTAAGTTTTATCACGACTCTAGTCAACTCTAGTCTCAAAGATAAATCTTGTTTGAAGACTTATTGTAGCATAAGTTTCTATACGGGGATAGACGAAATGATTTATGTCCTACCAAGATATCTGATATCTCAAGATTTAAGGGCAGCAAAGGATAACATTGAAGTGAAGCAATACCATGGGTTTGTACAAGGATGCTGTGGCAAAATACTGAATATCTCTCAAACCAGCTATTTCTAGCAATGTTCATCCACTGCCATGTAAATGGCCCAAAGGGACAGAAAGAAATGAAGCACAATACTAGGCACTTCATATAAATTCATTCATATATACTACTGCGGATTCTCTAGCAAGGTCCGCTCACAGCGCACAAGAGACGTTTAACCTCTACCATCAACAACCACCCTTGGTACAATAGGTGGGGGCTGATGAAAGGAGTTAGGTAGCTAGGCAATGTACTTTTTTGGTTTATGTGGATAAGTAGAATGCAGAGGTTTCATTAAAAATAAAAAGTCTAGCTCCCTCTTCAAAGAATAAAATTTAAATCAATTAAACAGAGTCATTGTAACGTTTTCTCCCGTCACATGTAACTATGGGCTTGTTTGGATTGACTTATGAGTAACTTTTTAAATATGAGTTACCAAAAACGAGGTAAATATATGAGGAGAGTTTTGTCTCGACTTATATTAACTTGTTTAAAAGTCTGTTTTGAACAAATCTCTAAACAAGTCCAACAATGTCCATGCCGCCACAAACCTTAGATCTGTTCAAAGGAAGGAACAGAAATTATTTTTCCTAAATAATCAAATATCAAAATATTTATTTGTCTTTTTTATTACATATATAGGTATATATTTTGGAGACAGATTATGTGTGTGTACATATATACATGGTCGCGGCTCCTCTCCTTTTCCCTTACCATCCGCTGCCCTCCTTTACCTTTGATACTTGCGCCGTTTTGAGTGAAAGCAAGGGAGGGTGAAGGCTTTTTTTTTTTTTTTTTAATTCAAAAAAAATATCTAATACCTTAAAATATTTATTTCAGTGTCATTTCCTATCCTAAATTAATTGTTAATACACTCAACAAGGTAAAATAATTTTTTAGTAGCACATAATATTTAACACCCAGCATTCGAAGATATTTCTTAACAGCACTTAGTATTGTAAAATAATTTTTGGTCCACTTAGAAGGCTAAAATATTTTTTTTCAATAACACCTATGCAACATCCAACATGCTACGGTATTCTTTTAGTAGTACCAAGTAGCTTGTGCTAAATTTTAGTTACCATAAAATAATATGACAAATTACTTCAAGATACTAAAAGTTATTAAAAAATATTTTTGGGTGTTGGATATATTAAAAATTAATTTCTGATATTGAGTGTTATTAGAGAAATACCTTGACATGATGGGTATTACTAAAAAAAATTTAGGATACTGGATGCTATTAAAAAATATTTTAGAACACTGAGAGTTAGATATTAAATACTATTAGAAAAATATTTTAGAGTGGTAAGTGTATTAAGAATTTATTTAGGATACTTGATAATACTAAAAATATATTTTAGAGTACTGATTTTTTTTAATAGAAAAGCACTCATTCTCTCGTTTTTCACTCAAAACGCCGCGGCTTTGAGGGTAGAGGAGGGCAGCGGATGGTAAGGGAAAAGGAGAGGAGCCGCGTCCCATATATACATCTATATACTGCGTCACTTTCCAGCCGACCGCCGACCGTGGGAGAGATTTCCTCCTACCTCCTTCGTGCGTTTTTTAGGGTTTGGGCTTGAACTCTGAAGAGCTAAACAGTTCGGCAGAAGAGGAGCGTTTTCGTAGGCGGAGATGAGACCGTTGGACGAGGCTGAGACAACTGCAGTGTTCGAAAAGCTCTTCAAATTCGTCGGAAACAACCTCAGGAGCATCGTTGAAAATCCCTCCCATGAAGGTCCCGATTCCAACGCTGGCCGCTATTGCTTCCGCCTCAACAAGAACAAAGTCTACTACGCCAGCGAATCCGTCGTCAAGCGCGCCACCAACATAGCCCGACCCAACCTCGTTTCTCTCGGCACTTGCATCGGCAAATATACTCACGGAGGTAATTTTCATCTCACAGTTCAGGCTCTGAACTTGTTGGCTGCTAATGCTAGGCACAAGGTCTGGCTGAAACCCCAGTCTGAGATGTCTTTCTTGTACGGGAATCATGTTTTGAAGAGTGCCTTGGGAAGGATTACAGAGAGCATTTCGCCTGGTGATGGGGTTGTGGTGTTTTCCATGTCCGATGTGCCCCTGGGTTTTGGCGTGGCTGCTAAGTCCACTCAGGATTGCAGGAAATTGGACCCTAATGGTATTGTGGTGCTTCACCAGGCGGATATTGGTGAGTATCTGAGGACGGAGGACGAGCTCTGAAGTATCTGAGGATGGAGCAACGGAGGACGAGCTTTGAAGTATCTGAGGATGGAGGACGAGCTTCGAACTATCTGAGGATGGAGGACGAGTTTTTTTATTTTTTTGGCAATAGTGTTGGTGTTAGAAAGAGGGGGATAACTCTTATAATTTTTGTGAGTGTCTTATCCAATTCGGGTCATTGTGAGATTTTGATTCAACTAGGAACTTTAGTATTACACTGAGAACTCTGTTTTGCAGTGACTATAACTCTATTTATTCATCTTCCTCTGGACTACGTTAGTGCCTGCAATGTTATTTTACTTGTATGAATTCAGTTACTTGTCTTTCCTATGTGAAGGATTTTTGAAATTATTATGCTTTCTACATCTACATTTTACATTGAAAACCCCTGAATGTTTCTGCTCCTCAAGGGCAAGGAAGCCGATGCATCAGAGGACTTTCAATGTAAATGGAATGGCTCTCTCTGACCAGCATCTAAGTAAGAAATAATCTACAAACTTTTAGTTAAGTTCTGTTGCTTTGCTTTTCTTTGATACTAGTTTTAAAGTTGAGAGTTCTGTTTTTCGAACATTGGTTCACAAATCATTACTCAGTGCATGAAGTAGATAAAACTGAAGCCTTATAAGTAACAGGTCACGTTAGAAAAAATTGCCTATGCTACTTATTGTTGTGTTTTTGTTTGTTTTCATATCTTTTATCTTATATCTATTGTTAAGTAAGATTGTAAATCCTATATGAATTTTAGATTGGACCATATTTTTTTAAATAACAATAAGTATTCTCCTATAAAAACAATTATATTTAAAGTACTGTTAAGTGCTAAATATAAATATCTCGTTTAACATAAATTTAAATTTTGATCATTACATTATAAGGAATGATTAGATATATGTTGTTCGTTTATTTTGTGTCTTTTGTAGTTGCTCTATGTTTGTCATCCTGGCCCACGCGGCTAGTCTCGTAACCTTGGGTTTCTTTGTGTTAACATTTTACATCTAATAAAATTTGCCCTTCATGGGAATAATGTGTTTTATTACAATGAAAAAACATTACTAAATTATGTTTTTATTTGATGAAATGGTTTTACGCAGTAGATTTTGAATATACTAAATTATGTGTAGTTTGAGGAGGCTCGTTTGGTTAAACAGAAGGAAAAATCGCAACAACAAAAAAGAAATCCTAAAAATTGAAAAATTGTACAAAGTACCCGTTTATAAAATTATTATCAAAACCCATACTATTATTGTCAAAATCCATACTAATATTGTGATAGGTCTTTATTTACAACCTTTTTATTTCAACGGTCTTTTTTTTTGTGATTTTTCCTAAATATAATAGAGAGCAGGAGAGTCCCTTCCCTCAATGAATGGGATAATTTTGATAAGGTCAAATCATAACCATCTGCTTACAATTCATATTGTATTACTATTGCTTGCTGCCTATTGCATACAATTTGGTCAGAAAAGAAATGCCTATAGATACTGAAGGATTTGGCTATCCACCAACATTTAAACACAATTATTTTCCTATTGGAGGCAATGCTACAAGAGTAATTATCGGATACTAAATGTGGGTACTTCTCCTCATGAGAATCCGGACCTTAGGTTAGTAGGTCATCACATTGTGAGAAACTAACTCTTTTTAGTAGATCCAATCCGTATTGAGATACTTGTGATAATTACTAAATAGTTTAATTCAATAAATTATTTTTTTTCCTTTTATTTTGACAATAAACAAAAAGCGTCTCAAGGCTCATCCTTTTGTTTTAATGGGCTTGACTCCAAATCTACTAAGAATAGACCAGGAATAACCCAATAAATATTAAATATGATAATATGATAACAAGAAGAAGAAGCATTCAAATATCATGGACAAGTAACTATGCAGACTCCATGATGCAATCTCCCAAGTCTACTTTTCTTATAATTAGAGACTAAAGACTGGATGAAATTAATTAAGCCATCGTTATATACTAATTTCTTCTCTTTGCCTTAGTGTTGGATTTTATGAAACGCAAAAAGTATTGTGCTTTCATAAACATATAGCCTTTTTTTTTTTTTGAAGATATTGACATTCTAAATGGTGATTGAAGATGTGATTTCATGAACAAAGTTAGGCCGTTCACCTAACACTGCCGTTGAGATTATAAGTATTAGGGAATGTTTGAATCTATGTTGGGATCAATGTTGCAAAAAGATTAGGATGCGTTTTGTTATTCTAATGTTAAGAAGATCAGAGTATCCTCTTACTCTATGGAGTTCATGGAGGTTAACCGCATTGAAAACAACTATATGTTCAATTGATTCAATGACTGTTTAAACTGAGGATGGGATCCAACCTATTTTAACTTTTAAAAATTCGTTGTAACCTTTAAAATTACAAATCACGATGTGTTTTTAAATTGTAATACTCCCTTTGATTCTAAATATAAGACCTATTTTATAGTGTAAATTATACTATAAAATAGGTCTTGTATTTAGGACCAGAAGAATAGGATTTAAAACTATAATGTAAGCATAGTGAAGAGAAACTCACTTGAGAAAATCAAGGACATATAGAATTAAAAATTTATCAGACTCTATCCTTTCCAATGCACCAAATTGACCCTTAACTTATAGAGAAAAAATAAAGAAAAAAATTAAATATCTTAAACATTAACCAAACTGAACTTACTACTCAAAACACAAGGTATAAAATTGCATTCTGCACAATTGATTAGGACTATTTGGTTCTACTATTTAAGTCCAACCAAATCAAACTAAAACTTACAAATTTCTTAACCCTGCGGATGATAAACATTGTAATATTTGAATGCATGGTCACGCAAAAAAGGATTACAAAGTAGAAAACCGTATCCAGAATACAAGAGAACTTAAACACAGTACCATGCGTATCAGGCAATGCTACCTACATATAAATATCTAGCAATGAATTTAGCAAAACAATGAAATTATTGTTGTGTAATATGCTACGTTCCCTAGCAAAATGTAAAGAAAATGAAATAAGGTAACTACTTTTTCCCCTGATCAGAACAAATACAGTGACATTTACTTGAACATTCCCAAAGGGATTCCTCCTACTAAAATCTGTTGGCTCAAGAGCTAATTTCTGGGCGATCTCAGCCTGCAATTCAATCCAACTTGACCGAGGAGAATAAGTAATACACAAAAGAGAAGGAAGAGAGGAACCCAACAGTGCCTGTAGCCAACATGATAGCCACAACCATGAAGAGAGAGTATCCCAAGTACAGAGATGCAGAGACAGGGCCGCTCAAATTCTTGAGATCAAACACCAGATAGTTTATGGAGTACAGGAAGATGTATATGGCCACAGAACCAGAAGCAAAGAATGATTTCCACCACCATCTCCAATCTTCCACACACAGATGCATGTAAGTTAGAACCAAAGAGACCTCAGCACAGACCACCACAAGCAGAATCAAAACAACAAAGAGGAACCCGAAGACATAATAGACTCGGCCCATCCAAATACTGGACATGATGAAGAAGAGCTCTATGAACAGCGTTCCAAATGGAAGGGTTCCTGCACCAAGGACTAGCAGCCATGAAGGGTACTTCTGTGCGGGAATTTCACGAGGAATTTGATTGGTTCGGACAGGATACTCAATGTGATTGGCCCTGGCACCAAAGTACCCTCCAACAAGAGTGAGGGGAACAGAAATGCAGAACCAGAGTAAAATAAGTATGACAAAGAGTGAAAACGGGATGGCTCCTGTGCTGTGACTTCCCCACAACAGAAAGTTCAAGGTTGTGAGGATCAAGAACGCAATACCAGGGAAGAAACAAGCCGCCCTCCATGCCACTGAAAACCAGCCCTTCTGATTGCCACAACCAATTGTTCTCCAAAGGCGAACTGCCACATATCCAGCTGCGACACCAAGTATCATGTAGAAAAACAGCATACCAGTGATGAGTGTGCCACGAGAGGCTGGTGACATGAAACCGAGAGCTGCAAACATGATTGTCACCACAGCCATCCCAAGAATCTGAACCCCATCTCCAACCATTATACATAGTAATGAAGGGTTAGATGGAGCACGGAATACATCCCCCACAACAAGCTTCCAACCAGATAACTCTTCAGTCATCTCTGCTTGAGCCTCCTTGTCCAGCTCCTCATAACGGGTTAGATCACGACGAACAGTCCTCAAGAAGATCACAAGTACTATGCCAGCAAGGAAAGTGATCACCATAAGAGAATTGAGGATAGAGAACCAATGGACTTTTGATCCCTCCATCTTCAAGTAGGCATCCCATCTCGATGGCCATTTGATGTCACTCTCCTCAAAGGTGACCTCGTAGGTGAAAGCCAGTGGCTGACCTTCCTTGATCTGCATTCCTACTGTGGATGGATCACACTTAATAGGTGATGGGTATTTGTCATACGTTTTCAAGTTTTTAGCTGAATCAAAATTATGCATAACACTGCACGGTATCACCTCAAACCCAACAACCATGTATCCAGGCATTGCTGATTCCCCTTTACCATCCGTTGGGATCACTTCAACTGCATCACCAGTTCCCATCACACGAGCCACATTGGATTCCTCGTACTTGTGGACAAGAACATTGAACTTGAGATGGTTAAACAGATAATATGCATCTTGAATCTTGACACCAACAGGGTACCCAGTCCATCGTAGAAGGTATCCATCTTTTTGTGTAAAGCGAATGGCGGGTAAATTATCAAGGATCAGATTAACCTGATACATCTCATCAATCCTCTCTTTAAGGATCTTGAACTGATCTGCGGACAATTTGTCTAACCGACACAAGAATATTTCCGACTCGTTTGTGTACATCTTAAATCGGTATGGTGAGTTCTCGATCCGGTCGCCCATGAGTAGCTCGCCGAGATTCTCAGCACTGTCCTTAACACCGCCCGGAGGCTTGCAAAAGGGTAGGCTGTAATAGCTAAAGGGCATTTCTGTATCAATTGAGGTCAGAGAATTCACTTTCACCGACAACTCATCCCCAACC